ATTCATGAGATACAACCAGACTCACTGTTTTTATGCTCTGTGTCAAGTTAATGATTAACAGCTTCTCTTTAGTGTCTGTATGTTTAACCTCTCACACACACTACTCTTTTGTAAACCTTCTATTTACTTATTTATTTTTGTGAATGTTTAAATATTAGGTTTATTGTTGCTGAAACCTGTACGACACTTAGAAAGCTCCCTGTATGTGTGTAGGATCAAACGCATGGCTGGGATGAAGGAGTCTCAGATCAGTGCTGAGATCGAGCTGCTGCCGACCAACGATAAGAAGAAATGGGCCAGGCCTCCCATCTCTATGAACTTTGAGGTCAGAACACGTGATTGGTTAAAAGTCTCTGCCTTCCTCTCAGTCGCACATAAAGTTTGTTGAATCAGAAACAATATTTCCTGATTAGGCTTTACCTCCTGATTAAATATGCTACATCCTGTTTGTACAAAGTTCTGTTGAGAGACGCATTTAGCAGAGTTGGCAACCAAACAAATGGACTATGGATTAAATGTGATCCCAGTATCAGTCATGCAAATCACAACCTGCTGACTGTTAACTCACACACACAAACAGTTCCTGCTCAAAGCTCACCTAATTTTCACACCCACAGTAAGAGCCACCAACCTGTGTGGCCGACTGCTCCCAGCATGCCCCAACACGTCTTAACCTCTGCTGGGTTTTGAAACTGGTTGTAAATGCTAAGAAAACAAAGTTTATGTTCTTCTTAACAGCTAGCTCACAGTTGATTGATGATTTGAGCATTGTTACATCCGATTTTCAGCTTAATCAGCTGTGACAGGTGACTGACCAGTCAGTCTCAGGTACAGGCGATCCTGTGCTAATCAGATGTACATGCATGCGCCACACAGTGGTCCACATTGCAGTCAAAGAAGCACACAAACAGAAGCTGACTATTGTCCTAGCCTCAGCAACTGGTTTTTATTCCCAGATGCTTTGCCACGCCTCCTCCTCTTAGTGACTTAATTTCGAAAAAGAGACTAGCAACAAATTTTGCAATTTATTTAGACTGTTAGTGACTGACTCTTCTGCCTGCAGTCTCTCCCCTCCTCATGCACCTTTCTAACAGTGTGGGATCTTTACATTCTTTTAAATAGATACTCATTCATAAAAAGGTTTGTACAAATAAATTGATAAATTAATTGTTTAGACAGATAATAAATAGTTTTATTATTTTCTCTGATTTTTCTCTGATATGTAAACAGTTCATTTGAGCATATCATGACCTGTTTCACCTATTCTTTTTTGGAAGTAAAACATGTTAGATTAAGTGGGATATACTGCGATAGCTTGATTTTATTTGGACAAAAAAGTTTTGGTTAGTAACCTGGAGGACTTTTTAATTTGAGTTTGAGTGAGAGTGAGAGAAGGTCCTGAGATCTGGTGCAGTTTTAGAGAAAATGTAAATGATATTTAATAGTCAGTGTTTTACTATGTACATGCAATTGAATTTTCCATCCAGGGCATCATAAAGAATGTATTAATGGAGGAATGTGTTTGTTTTTTTTTTCCAGTGTTCAATAACTATTTTTATCTCAGTGGGACTTCCTGGTAAAATGAAACCTCCCTCTTCTTCCCCTGCAGGTTCCTTTTGCTCCGTCTGGTCTGAAGGTGCGCTACTTGAAGGTGTTTGAGTCCAAGCTCAACTACAGTGACCACGATGTCATCAAATGGGTGCGGTACATCGGCCGCTCCGGCATCTACGAAACGCGCTGCTAAAGTTCAACCCGCGCCAGGCAGCGAACTGACCACTCTCCTCCCATCTATCCTGTTAAGATTTTTTTCTTCTGCCCCTTCCTACTTTGTCTCTCTCTTCCCCTCAGTCCTTATAGCTTCTCTCATACAACCCCCGCCCACCCCTCCATCACCGCCCTCAACCCTTCATAACTAGGTGTTGGAGATTGAATTTACATCGTTAAAAAAAATAAAATAAATATGATATAATGCACAGATATATGCAAAATGTGAACCATTGTATCGTATATATCTCGTAGTGATGAGTAAACCTGTAAACCAACTGGTGTCTGAAAGATAAAGACAAGTGATGCAGATGGGGACCAGGGGGAGAGGACTGGAGGCACCTGTGGGTGTCTTAAGGGGTACTCTCGTGTTTATTCAGTGTTGTTATTCCACTATACTCTCCAGTTCCTTTAGACGTCCCACAAGTCCTAGAGTTGTAGCTGTTGTGGTTGAAATCCCGATATTGTTCCCTGTATATGAACTTCTGTCGACCCTTTAAATAAAGATGCATTGTCTGATTCTGTATTGTGGACTGATCTATATTTGATCTGTTTTGTGGGAGCGGTCATTCGGATCAAAAGTCTTATTGGGGTAGCTAAAAAAAGAGGAATCTATAGTGACCGACTGTTTTTGTACTTTCTGGAGAGTGTATTCTTTCCCTTGCTATTTTTCCATTATCAGTTTTGCCGGCGTTCAGTTAGCGCAGAGGGTAACATTCCAGACAGTTCTGAGGTCCGACCGTCATCTTGATGAGCTAGTTTGTGACCCACATTTCCTGTTTCTTAGGCGCCAAGATCAACTTTGTCACACTCTTTGATTCAAAGATGCTTTTGGAGAAATCTGGCACTGGGAGTGTGTTTGCAGTGAGGTGAGGTCTCCCCCTGGTGTTTGCCTTGTCACTGTCTGCTTCTTCATGTTTGTAGCCCTGGTGACCGTTCTGTCCAATAAAATCTGACTATGTAACCAAACACGCCTAGCGTCTGAGTGATTGTCTTTTTGTTTGATATAAACTCTGTTGTATCAGTGTTTCCTCTTCCTGTAGTCTGAAATGAGGGAGGGGTCGGTGTAGGAACAATGGGTCTGGGCCTCCAGAGTTGTTCTAGTTTTGTGTTTTTAATTCTGTTTAGTTTGTTATTTTCCAGAGGGGGAATGCTCATTTCAGTATTGTTCTTACTGTTTAAAAATGTTGAGTTTTATTATCTTGTTTATTTGCTTTTAATAATAGGGGGGTATTAGTCAGGGACAAGATTTGATAAAGTCAGAATAGGTACTACAATACAAACATGCAGCATTTTGTGAAGGCCATCAACTCACAGTCATGTAGAAGCCTCAGTCTCAAATATATGAAACAATGCCTCCTTGTGCTTGTGTCTACAAATTTGACCAAACTGACAGAGAATCCAAGTCACTTAAAGTCCAGTGATGATTTGGGGTGCCATGTCATCTGCTGGAGTTGGTCCATTGTGTTATATCAAGTCCAAATTCAACATGGCTATCTACCACGAGATTCTAGAGCACTTGATGCTTGTGTCTGCTGACAAGCTTTATGGAGAAGACTACCACTAGTAACTGGTTTGCTGACCATGGTGTTACTGTGCTTGATTGGCCAGCCAGCTCACCTTACCTGAACCCCACAGAGAATCTGTGATGTATTGTCAAGAGGAAGATGAGAGACACCAGACCCAACAACACAAATGAGCTGAAGGCTGCTATCAAAGCAACCTGGGCTTCCATAACTCAGCAGTGCTGCAGGCTGATGGCCTCCGTGTCGTAATTTGTGCAATAGGAGCATCGACCAAGTATTGAGTGCATAAATGAACATACTTTTCACAAGGGCTTATGTAATGTTCAAATATTTTTGAGATACTGGATTTTTGATTTTCGTGAACTGTAAGCTGTAATAATCAAAATTAAAACCAAAAAAGGCTTGAAATATTTCACTCTATGTGTCATGAAACAAGAATATATGAAAGGTTCACGTTTTGAATTAAATTAAGGGAAAACAATGAACTTTCCTTGATATTCTTTTATTTGAGATGCACCTGTAGACTATCCAGTAAAGGAAAAAACATGTGTTTATGGGTAGTCTGTAGGTCCGTCCCATTCTCATGAACACATCTCAAGAACGCTTCAAGTTTCTTCAAATTTGGCACAAATGTCCACTTGACCTCGAGGATGAAATGATTAGAATTTGGTGGTCAAAGGTCAAAGTCACAGTGACCTCACAAAACACACTCTGGGCCTACCTCAAGAATTCTTATTCTAATTATGATAAGAGTTCACACAAATAAAACTAGAATAATGTGACATCATAATGTTATGCAAAAAGTTTTTTTATCACCATCATTCAACGCCATAACTCAGAACATTTGG